ACACGCACATGTACCAAAATGTTAGGGGGGAAAAATGTATAAGCAGTGATTTATTTAGAAACAAGTCTGTGGGGAACATACGCTACATTGTTAAATGTAACTTCAAATCTAATACACTTAAAAATAATGGGAGAGAAAGGCGTGAATGAAAGGGAACGTGATGATCAACTCTCCTGTTGGCTTCCCAGCTTCCCGACCCTCCATAAATGGTGCAGTGCACCGCCGCCATCTTACTTCTCCATTCTCTAACCGTGTAACTGAAATGTGACGAGGGGCGTCAGTAATGTTTGTTTCCCAAATTAACCGTCCTTTTTACGACCTCGCCTCGTTCAATCAGAACAGAATCACACGAAAAGGCTTCAAGAAGGAACAACTAGACACATAAACTTGCTTCCATAACTACAAACACACCCACTCTAAAAATATGAGCCCTCGGGATATGGAAAAATTAGACAATACGCGTTTTATCCGCTATGGATATTCAGTCCAATGAGCCGAAAACGTAGATTGTATGTCCTCAACATGTCTTTTTATGTTCTCTGTGTTAATGATTGTAGCATACACGACTCGTTTGTGTCATTTTAAATCACAGAAATGTAAGGGAACTGCTTAAAGCACAAAAACAACAAAGTGGGGAGCATATTTTCCACTGTAACACAAACGGAACGGGGGCTTAACGTACGACTTTAACGGGTAAAAATGTCGCAAAACAACGACACAATGCTGATTTATATTTTATGCTATATAACGTTTCTTTCTGAACGCCAATTATAGCCACGGAGGGTGAAATTCCCGTGAATTTTCCACTTTCGACATCCTTAAAAACCCACTAAGCAAAAATGTTCCACACTTCCGGCTAAACCTTCACCATAAAGCAATAGACATTGTTTAAGAAAACCGTACAACACTAGAGTACATAAAGAACAGGCTATATTTAATTCCATACTCGTATCAGATGTCCTGGTGAATCCGAGATTAAGTGTAATCAACTTTATTTTTTTTAACTTCCAAACACATTCAGCTTTAATTTTAAAAGGCACAACCATTCCGCTTCCGGTTTTATCCTTAGCTAACTCGTGTTAGCTTGACTGAGATGGTAGCAAAACAATATGCTCGGTGGGGAAAAAATACTCCAATGTCGCTTTTTAAAACCAATATTCCTTACCTCCACAGCCATGGCCGAGGCCACCACAGCGAGCAGCAGTAAAACCACTCGGTCTCCCATGTCGTTTCGTGAAAGCGACGCTCCAGAAGGCAGCGTTTGTCTCCTAACTAGTGTAGCGTATGAGTCGGTGTTCTCTCCGCCGGTGACTCCCGCTGTCTGATGGTGAGCGATCCTGAAGCTGCACAGCTGCTCGGAGTCGGATCACCTGACCGCAGCCGGCTGGGATTAACTCAGCCTCCCATGCTCACAACATTATCACTCTAACCCTCCTGTTTTCCTATTTAATTCGTGTACATACCCACAGAAAAAAATTCTCTGATTCAACCTCTTTTATTTTCACACTAAAATAAATGTTTTATTAATATCTTAAAGGTACTACTCATCAATCGTGTCAACACAATTGATTCGAGATTTACCACATACAAAACATATTGTAATGGAGTTTTTCCCTTTTTACTTAGCTATTTTGTTGCAATTGTTATACAGTCATGATACACCCTCCAACAAAAATAAAAAAATCTTTAGTGCCTCCTGTGACATCACATAAGGCAAATAAAAGATCTTTTTAAAAGTGAACATATATTTGGGGTTTAAAATGTATCCAAGTACTGACTCTCCAGTCCTTAGACATATCAGCTGATTTGTTTGCTGTCTTTGTACATTTTTGTGATTTTTTTCCCCTTTAATGGATCTAAAGAGAGGAAGTGCCTGCACATTTAAAAACTAAACCAGAACTAACAACCTTCTCAATCGCAGAGCTGCTGTTTGATCTGAAGCAGCCAAGAGAGAGACATTAAGTATTTATTCTTTTCCCAGAAGATCAAAAGCCGATGTGTTTTTTCCTCTCAGATCCTACCCATTTATTTTATAGGTATTAGGGAAACCCATACTTCATTACTCAACTGTGTCTTTAATGTCAATTTACATGGGAATAAGGCAAAAACACACCACTGGGTAGTATATTTAGGTGAATAACTTGAGACTGGATTCTGCCTCTGTATTCAAAAACATATCTTTAATTTACAACACAGGCACTGACACAATAGAGAAACAGTTATTGACCTGATATTTATAATGATGAAGTCCCATCAATTCACAGTTCAAGCACAGTGAAGTCACTTTGAGTTTAAAAAAAATTCCCCTGACATTTAAATACCCCGCATTATTTAAAACGCGGAAAAAAAAAAGTCAGTATATTACAGTCCAGTTTTGAGCTGCCGATTGGTTTAAAGCCATCATTTTTATTATAATGGATTAAGTCAAGTCTTTCAGTTTAATACAAAGCAGGTCCAGATCTGATATAATAATAAAAAAATAATCATTGTTTCAAATAAAAGTGGAGCAGAATAACTCTAAGAATGAAAAAAACAAACAAAAAAAAACAAAAAAAAAAGCAAGAAGTTGTCCGCAGTTTATCGCTGACAATTCCTTCCCACTCGTGATGATGCGGAAAAAAGAAAAAAACATGGTCTTCACTTTCATCAAAGTGTAGCCAATACCTTTGATGTGCACAAATGGGGGCAGAGAGTACAGGTCAGAACAGTTAAGCTGCCAACAAGTTAAGTCTTTCAGACGTGATGAGGCATGAGTGCGTTTCCAATCCTGACCCACATTTTCTCTCAAATGGTTCTCTTCCCACCAGTGGTTCTGCTTCAAAGCAGCGGCAGTGCAGTAAAGCTGAGCGTTAGGGGGCAGAGGGGGCAGAGTTGGGAGGTGGGAGGGGTATTCTGAGAATTTTAGTTTGATGAACCCGAAGAGCAACTGCGACGAGTGTCCATTTATGGTCCAACCAGCTTGCGATCTGCATGGCGAGAACTCACTTGCGGGTGAAGCCGGGGTAAGGAGGCGGCGGAGAGTAGTTGGCTTGTTGAGGCTGGGCTGGGGTGTAGGGTGGGGGTCGTAATGATGGTGGGTGCATCTCATAGTCGTAGCTGTAAGGAGGTGGAGGACCTGGGTTATAGAACGATAAAAAAAAAATAAAAAAAATAAAAAACACACCCAAAGTTAAAACTACATGATTTAGATTGAGATTTCTTCAAGGTTTAACATGAATCAGGCCCACAACATTTTTAATGAAACTCTTGCACCATCTAGTGGTAGAATTACAGAATTGCACTTTGAAAGAAGTGGATGGGAAGAGTTGGGAAGATAACAAATTGGGAAGTTTTTGCTGAGCCGGTCTCCCATCGAAATAAGTGAAAAGAAAAGAAAAATCTTATTGTGAGAAAAATTTTAATTTATAATGGAAATGATAAAGTACAGACTTTACCACGAAAAACTGAATATTTATGGGACTGTTTTTGTCCTTGACCACCAAAATGCAAGATTAAAGATATAAAAAAAAAGTGTTTAAAAATCACCTAAACTCAAAAGATCATAGGTCCGATTCCAGTTTCAATTTGAAAATCATGAAAACATAACTTTACTCTAGTTTCAACATTAAAAGGGAGATTTCTTTGTATTTGTTATCATAGGTATAGCATCTAATTTTGAAATGCATTTTAATATTTACTAGTAAATAAATGTTAAAGATTTTGTTTATGCATTATGTGTTCTTTTAATCCCTCTTCCTTTACTTTCCTCTAAATCCCTGTGTATAAATACTCTAGAAACAAACCTGCCTTGCCTCTTCTTATGGTGTCAAACAACAGCTTTAGGACGCTCATGCTGTGATCTTTGAGCGACTGAACCAGGGAACCTACACCACCGTGTCAAAACACAATGACTTCCATCGTGTGTTCCTGCACACGCTGCATAATCATTCATACTGCATCAGGTCAAGCGGTGCCTTCGTGAAACACGATCGGCGCCGCAGGGCAGCGCGAAAGCAGCTCAGCTACTGTTGCATAAAGGGGAAACACAGCTGTGAACGAAACACTGTGAATAAATGATGAGGAAGAGGAGAGAAAATAGCAACACAAAGGCCGAGGAGTGTCACAGAACACCGGCTCTGGTGGACAATAGTATGTATCTATTGTAAAGAAAAGTACTGAAAAAAAAAACGTCTTTTTTTACTCTGTCGCATAAACTCCTTTATGCGACAGAGTTTAAAACGTAGGGGGAAACTGAGTCAAGAAAATTTCCAGGAAAACTCCTAAACTCTTTGGGTTGCTTCATATTTCCACCTCTGTGGACAGCTGGTAAAGTTAGAAGCAAGTTCATGTATATCTCTACATGCTGCTGTATTTTGATACATTGGAATACATTTAAAAAGCTAATTTATTCCAGAAATTAAAACACAGCACAAGTACAAGGCACTTATTTCTGCCTATATGGATGATCGTAGCTGACAAAAAACTCAAACTTCAGTTTCTCTGAGAAGTAGAATGTTATACAAGAACATTAAGGTTTTTTTTTATTATTATTTCAGAAATGCGTTCCCCGAGAGATGTGTCCAAGCATATCAGTGGAAAGTTCAGTGGAAGGAAAAAAGTATGGTAGCAAAAAGGTGCACAAGCAAAATGTGGTGCCCAACTCAAGAACTAAACACAAAAAGTATGAAATCGTGTGACAGGTAGAGGAAATAAAAGTGAACATGAGTTATGATAGTGTAAAGAAGGTTACTAGTTTGATTCTTTTTAGCTTTGAGTTCAAGTTTGAAGCATTTTTAAAAGATTTTAAAGTGATATTCTACGGTTTGCACAGTGATTTTCTATTCTTAAAATAATGGAAAAATACTTTTAAAAATCTTGTAAAAGTTGCTTAGCCACAGCACTTTGTTATATTTGTTCAATAATAGTAAACATCAAACTCTTGGTTTTCATAATTACACCCCTTTTTCAGGTAATAAACATTTAACTACTCGTTTGGTAATAAATTAACCTTTAAAAAAAATACTCGAACGTCATAAAAGTGCCACTTTTTACCAAACAACCAGGCTTCAAAAGAGGTTTACAGTGTGGTGCAGGAGGCTTTCGGTCAAACACGGCGACCCACCTGGGTAACCCTGGGTAACGGTGTTGATGTAGGAGGTGCTGAAAACTCCGACCCGCGCTCCGCGTCCGTTCTTCATGCACATGCACACGCACAGGAACAGGGCCGCCACCGCCCCCATCAGAAACACCACGCCGAACACTATGCCGGAGATGGCGGTGCCTCTGGAACACACACACATACACACACAACGCAACACACAACGCACGCAATGAGCCATCCAGACGTGCGAGGGCTTTTCATCAACGCTCTCTCCTCTCTGCCATCACTTCTCCAGTGCTGCCATGGAGATGTGCCGCCTCATCTGATCTAGCTCAGCTGTGAGGCGTGCGCAAATCGTGTGACAAGAACATGTGCGCTCGCTGCAGAGGAGTCTGCGAATTGGCACTCGGGGAAAAATAGGAAAGGGCTCATTAGCAGGTTTGTAGTTAGTCAGCCAAGTCTGTCCTCTTTTGCTCCAATTGTATAACAGTTGGTCTCCCCTCATTTGAACCATCCAACCACAATCCAAAGTATCCAAATTGCAATATTTCTTGCTTTCTTTTTTTTTTTTTTTTTTTTTTTTTTTTTAAATCAAACCCAATATCTGACCAGTTACGCTGCATGAAGAAACCGTTTGCACCTACTTTACGTTTTGGAGTGTCCAAGGCTAAAAGCACAAATTAGAGGTTTCCTGGCAATAGGGGCTGTTAAAGCCTGGGTACCTTAAATCAGCAGCCACTTCAACTAGGTGTCCTACCTGCACATTACAGACTTTAAAATAAGTTACATTTCATTGAAATCCTCTACCAAAGAGAAGAGCAAGAAAACAAATGAGTTTACAAAAAGACAAGCTTGTCCTTTAGCAACATTTCCTCAGCGCGTTTACTTACGAGAGGACGTCCCCGACGTAGGCGTAATAGGAGCAGCAGAAAGGTGGCGAGCCTTCACAGCAGTACTCTATGCAGCCTTCACAGTGTGCCTCGCTACCACCTGCAAACACACGGCCGTGTTCTTATTAGCACCCTCTTCTCACGCGTAAATAATGAAAAAAAATAAAATAAATGAGCACAACTCGACATAATAGTGACGGGGGATGAGGACAGACGGCGGTTACACTGGATGGAGACCACTGCACAAAGCCCCATCGTTGTTGCTGTCCTCCTTTTAAATCCCTCCTAAATCCTCAGACTGCAAATACAAATAAATGTACAAATCTTCCCTTTTGAAAGCCTAGGACTATTTCCATAGAGTTGAG